CCTTTCCCCCTCCCTCCCCTCCCTCCCCTCCCCCTCCCTTCCTCTCTCCCTCCCTCTTCCTTCCTCCCCTCCTTCCCCCTCCCTCCCCTTTTCCCTAGCTGGAGTTGATCTAATCTTCCCATGCTCTCCCTCCCAACCCCACTATGAATCAGCCTCCTTAAGCCCCTCTTTGTTGTTCTTGTGTGTATGTGTGGGTGTGTGGTGCTGGGGATTGAACCCAGGGCCTTATTCATTCGCTGCAAGCACTCTACCAAGTGACTCTCTTTTCTACGTAGCTTTTTTTTTTTTTTTAAGTTGTTGATAGACTTTATTTTATTTATTTATATGCAGTGCTGAGAATTGAACCCAGTGCCTCACACGTGCCAGGCGCGTGCACTACCACTGAGCCCCAGTCCCAGCCCTTCTACATAGCTTTAAAGCTCCAAAACCGTCAATGTTGAGCACACAGGGTGCAGCATTCAGAGGTGCGCCAGCTTCCTACTAGTCTGCACCGCCCGCCCTGCTTTGCCAGAGCCCTTGTTTCCCAGACGCCGTAGGCTGGCGAGTAAGGACCTGCAACCATCGCTAAGATTTTAGAAAGTTCCCCCGGAATTGCAAAATGCCCTGAAGTTTTCCGGCTAGGGTCTTTCTCCCCTTCGAGTTTCTCCCACAATTCTTGACAGCCCGCCGCCCCAGTCACCCCTGCTGTTCCACTCACGGGCGCGGGTGCCCTTCAGGAAGCTCAGGAACACATGCAAGAGGACAAAAGTCCATAGCATTTTCTCAGCTGTGCTGTTGATTGACCACGTCACCCGGGAGTCCAGACCCACACTGCGAAACTCAGTTCCGCCATTAGCTCGAAGTGGAGGGAGGCGCTCTGAGAGAAGCGAGAGTTAAGAGGATCAGTAAGATAGAAACTGTGGGTGGGGTGTGTAGAGAAGAGGTTTACATAGGGTGGTTTCAGAAACGATGAAGCCTTGAGCTATGGCTTCTTCCTCACCAAATGCAAATGTCATTACACCTACCTAGGAAAAAAACAGGGACTTTTGGAAAAGTGTAGATATGAATGTTTAATGAGGGGAAAATATTAAACATGAAGATCAAATGATGCCTATGTTAACAACAAACGTTCAAACGTTGGGGGTGGGGGGGAGCCACAATCCCAGCCGGGCCAGAGTAATTTTAAATTTGCAATTTGCACTCCTCTGATTACTGTGGAATATGAGCCTTTAGCATATGAGCACAAACATATTCTGCATCTAGCTCTTCTGTTTTCAGGCGGCCGCACTTTTCTTGCAAAGAGGAACGAGAAGGATGCAGTTGCAAGAAGAAAAAAAAAAAAAAAAGTCCGCCCTGGTCACCCAACTGCAGCCAACTCCGTAGTAAACAACTTGCCCAGGAGTTCAAACCCTTAAGATAGGAATCCAGAGAGCAGCCTGCCTGGCTTCTCCCCTTTCTCCCCCCTCTTAGAATTCACTGAGTCCCTGGTAACTACTTTAATCTCTTTGGAAGGCAGGGTCCCCAGGCTCTAACAGCCTGCCACTAGGCCGCACCTATTAAAGGTCCCACAACACCTTAATGTCTACACACTCAGAACCAAGCTTCCAAACTTGAATCTTTGGGGGACACGTTGAAAAGTTCTCAAACCATAGCAAAGACTATTCAGATTTTGTTTCTTCTTTAGTTGATTTCAGCAGTTTGTGACTTTCCAGATATTTGATCTTTTCAACTAAGTTACCTAATTTGTTGGCATACAGTTGTTCATAACATTCTCTCCTCTTAAAATTTTTTTTTAGTTGTAGGCGGACACAATACCTTTATTTTATTTATTTATATGTGATACTGAGGATTGAACCCAGGGCCTAGGCAAGTGCTCTACCACCCAGTCACAACCCCAGCCCCAAAATATTCTCTTAAACTTCATTTCTGCAAGGTCAGTGATAATGTCCTCTATTTTGTTTTTTATTTTGTTCATAGTTATTCATAGTGTTCCCTTTCTCATCTTTTAAATTTCAGTGAGGACATTACTGATCTTTCCATCCTGACTTTGGGACTTTGGCTGTGTGTGTGTGTGTGTTTTCTCTTTTGGTCAGTCTAGCTAAAGCTTTATCAATCAATATTGCTGATCTTTTCCCAGAACTTACTGTTACTTTCATTGATCTTCCTCGTTGTCTTTCTGTTTTTTATTTCATTAATTCCCAATCTTATTTTTACTCCTTCCTTCTTTCTATTGCTTTGGTTTTAACTTGATCATCCTTTTCTAGTTTTGGAATGTGGAAGTTTAGTTTTTTCATTTTATTTTACTTTGCAGTGCTAGGGATGGAACTGAGAAACTCCCGCACGCTAGTCAAAAGTCTCTATTGCTGAGCTACAGCCCCGGCCCAGGTTATTAATTTTAAATAGTACTTTTCCAATGTTGACATTTACTGTTATGAATATCCCTCGAAGCATGATACTAGCTATATTCCATATACTTTCCTATGTTATCATTTTTGCTTACTGAGCTCAAAATATATTCATTTTCCCCTTTCTCTTTTGACTTGTTGATAATTTAGAACTGTGGCATTCAATTTCCAAATAATTCTAGATTTTCAAAATTTTCTTCTATTGTTGATTTTTATTAATTCATTGAAGTTGGAGAATGCACTTTGTATGATTTCAGACATTTTACATCTTTCAAAACTTCATTTCTGAGGTTATGACCTATCCTAGAGAATGTGTTGGTGTGCTCGGCAAGAATATATATTCTTTATTGGTGGATGAGATGTTCTATAGATGTCAGGTTAAGTCAGTTTTCACTATTTAGCCTTCTACATATTTGATGACCCTTAAGAATTCTCTAGGGCTGGGGATGTGGCTCAAGCGGTTGCGCGCTCGCCTGGCATGCGTGTGACCCGTTCCTCAGCACCACATACAAACAAAGATGTTGTGTCCGCCGAAAACTAAAAAATAATAAATATTAAAAATTCTCTCTCTCTCTCCCTCCTCCTCTCTCTCTCTCTCTCTCTCTCTCTCTTTAAAAAAAAAAAAGAATTCTCTAGCTAGGTGTTCTATATTGAGATTAGGGTGTTTAGTCCAACTATTAATATTGAACTATTTCTTCCTTCAATTCTATCAGTTTTGTTTCAGATAGTTATATGTTTATAATCATTTTTACCTTCCTGATGAATTGACCCTTTTATTATATTACTGTGTCCCTAATTTTCTCTAGTAACATTTTCATCTTAAATCTATTTTGTCCAATATTAGTATAGCTACTTGAGATTTTTTTTTTTTTTTTTTTGTACCAGGATTGAACCCAGAGGTCTTTAACCACCCCTGCCTTTTTAACATTTTATTTAGAGACAGGGCCTTGCTGAGTTGCTTAGGGCCTTGCTAAGTTGCTGAGGCTGGCTTTGAACTCTTAATCCTCCTGCCTTCCAAACCCCTGGGATTACAGGCGGTCACCACCATGCCCAGCTACTTGAGCTTTCTTATGATTACAATTTACATGGTATATCTTTTTCCATTTTTTAAAAAACTTTCATCTATTGTATATGAATCTGAAGGGTCTCTTATGGAGAGCCTATAGTTCGATCTAGTTTTTTTTAATTTGTTCTTTTTAGTTATACATGGCAGTATATTTTGACATATTAATTCAAACATGGAGTATATCCTATTCTCATTAGGATCCCATTCTTGTGGTTGTACATGATGTGGAGTTTCACTGGTTATGTATTCATATGTGAACCTAGGAAAGTTATGTCAGATTCATTCTACTGTCTTTCCTATTTCTGCCCCCTCCTTCTCTTCATTCGCCTTTGTCTAATCCACTGAACTTCTATTCTTCCCCTTCTTCACCTTATCATGTGTTAGCAACCACATATCAGAGGATCTAGTTTGGTTTTCTTTTTAACATTTATTTTTTAGTTGTAGATGGACACAATACCTTTATTTTA